CCTAAGCAAATCTAGAAAGAAGAAAAACATTTGGGATTAGTAAGCACAAAACCAACAATAATGAAGAAAAGAGAAGAAAGACCTGATAACAAAATGAGCTCAGCAGAGAAAAATATGTGAAGCAAGGAAATCACCAACATAACAAAAAACACAACAGAATGACAGCAATAAATTCATATGTATCACTAATTAGCTTAATTTGCATTGGTCAAATCTGCTGCAAAAGACCTCTTTCAAGTGCTGAAGAGCAAAGATACCTCCTTGAAAACTAAGGTGCTCCTGACACAAGCCATGGCATTTCAATCACCTCATATTCATGTGAGAGATGGACAATGAATAAGGAAAACCAAAGAAGAGTTGATGCCTTTGAATTGTGGTCTTGGCAAAGAATGCTGAAAAATACCATCGACTGCCAGAAGAACAAATCTATCCTGGAAGAAATGCAGCCAAAATGCTCCTTTGAAGCAAGAATGGACAGACCTCATCTGTCCTATTTTGCTCATGTTTTCAGAAAGGACTGTTCTTTGGAGGATATCATGCTTGGTCAATGAAAAAGGGGAAGGCCCTCAACAAGACAGATCAACATAGTAGTTGCAATGATGGGCTCGATTTGCATAGGTTCACCAAGTTTGACTTGGCTACAGCCACTGCTAGGAGTTCTGGTAGCATAGTACCTAAGGTACTTGACTGCTAATGAGAAGGATTGTGGTTCAATCCCACCAGCCACTCCTCAGAAGGAATGTTTGGCAATCTACTTCCATAGAGATACCACCTTGGAAACCCAAGGAGGGGTCGCTATGAGTAGGGCCTAACTAAACAGCACAACAACAACGACAACAGCCACTCCTGAGTGTCCAATTTGCCAGTAGCTGAGAACAACACAGAGTCTCTGGTATGGGACTATTCCCCAAGATGATCAGCCAACTACATGATGGTAGGTTGATTATATTGAATCACTTCCATCATGAAGGGTGGTGTTTCGTTTTTACTAGAATCAATACACACTCAAGTTATAAATTTGCCTTCCCTGCATGTAATGCTTCTGCCAATATTACCATTTGTGGGCTTACAGAATGCCTTTTCTACTGTCATGGTATTCCACACAACATTGTCTCAGATCAAGGAACTCACTTCGCAGCAAATAAAATGAGACAATGCGCCCATGTTTATGGAATTCACGAGTCTTATTATATTCATCATCCTGTACGTGATGCTTGATAGAACAGCAGAATGGCCTTTAAACACTCAATTATGTACCAGCTAGGTGGCAACACTTTTCAGGTTTAATGTGCTCATCTGCTAACTGAAAGGTTGGAGGTTTGAGTCCCCCCAGAGACAACTTGGAAGAAAGGCCTGGCAATCTATTTCTGAAAAGTCAGTTACTGAAAACCCTATAGACCATAGTAATATTCTGCCACACATGGGGTTGCCATGAATCAGAAAAGACTGAATGGCAAATGGTTTTGAGTATAAATTTAGTTGGGTCGATATTAGTTCACTTTGTTGTTGTTTCTCTTGTTGAGTGCTGTCGAGTTATCTTCAACTCATAGCAAAACTATGCACAGCAGAACAAAACACCGCCCGGTCCTGCACCAGCTCTGCAATCCCTGCTATACTTGAACCCATCGCTGCAGCCACTGTGTCAATCCATCTTGTTGAGGGCCTTCTCCTCTTTCGTCAACCCTCCACCTTACCAAGTATGACATTCTTCTCCAGGGAATGGTCCCTTCTAATAACATGACCAAAGTAGGTGAGACCAAGTCTGGCCATTCTCGCATCCAAGGAGCATTCCAGCTGAACTTCCTCCAGGACAGATTTGTTAGTTCTTTTAGCAGTCCATGGTACTTTCAGCATTTTTCACCAGCACCACAACTCAAAAGCATCAATTCTTCTTCGGTCTTCCTTATTCAATGTCCAGCTCTCACATGTATATGAGGTGATTGAAAATATTATGGCTTATGTCAAGTGCACCTTAGTCCTCAAGGAGATATCTTTGCTGTTCAGCACTTGAAAGAAGTCTTTTGCAGCCGACTTGCCCAGTGCTATACATCTTCTGATGTCCTGACTGCTGCTTCCATTGGCGTGTTGATTATAGAACCAAGCAATGTGAAGTCTTTGACAACCTCAAACTTTTCCCCATTTTTCATGATGCTGCTTATAGGTCCAGTTGTGAGGATTTTTGTTTTCTTTATATTGATATGTAATCCACACTGCAGATTGTATTCTTCAATCTTCATCAGTAAGTGCTTTAAGTCATCCTCACTTTCAGCAAGCAAAGTTGTGTCGTCAGAGTATCACAGGTTGTTAATGATTCTCCCTCCAGTCTTGATGCCACATTCTTCTTCATACAATCCAGCTTCTCAGATTATTTGCTCAGCATACAAATTGAACAAGTATGGTGAAAGGATACAACCCTGACACACTCCTGTCTTGATTTTAAACTATGCAGTGTCTCCTTGTTCTGTTCAAACGACAGGCTCCTGGTCTATATGCAGGTTCCTCATGAGTACAATTAAGTGTTCTGGAATTCTCATTCTTCTCAATATTATCCACACTTTGTTATGATCGACACAATCAAATTCTTTTGCATACTCAATAAAACACAAATAAACATCTTTCTGGCATTCTCTGCTTTGAGCCAAGATCCATCTGACATCCACAATGATATCCCTTGTTCCACGTCCTCTTCTGAATCTGGCTTGCACCTCTGGAAGTTCTCTCTCAATATACTGCTGCAACTTTTTTGAATTGTGTTCAGTAAGATTTTACTTGCGTGTGATATTAATGATATTGTTCAATAATTTCCACATTCTGTGGAATCACCTTTCTTTGAAATGGATACAAATATGGATCTCCTCCAGTCAGTTGGCCAGATAGCTGTCTCCCAAATTTCTTGGCATAACCAAATGAGCGGCTCCAGTGGAGCATCTGTTTATTGAAATATCTCAATGGGTGTTCTGTCAATTCCTGGAGCCTTGTTCTTTGGCAATTCCTTCAATGCAGCTTCAACTTCTTCCTTCAGTATCATTGGTTCTTGATCACATGCCACCTCCTAAAATGGATGAAGACTGATCAGTTCTTTCTGGTACAGTGACTCTGTCTATTCCTTCTATCTTCTTTTGATGCTTCCTGCATCATTCAATATTTTGCCCATCTTTCAGTGTTACAATTCGAGGCTTAAATTTTTCCCTTAGGTCTTTCAGCTTGAGAAATGCCAAGTGTGTTCTTCTTTTTGGTTTTCTAACTCCAAGTTTTTGCACATTTCATTATAGTAATTTGCTCTGTCTGCTTGAGCTGGTCTTTGACATCTTCCGTTCAGCTCTTTCATCTTGTCATTTCTTCCATTTGCTTTGGCTACTCTCACTTAAGGGCAAGATTCAGAGTCTCTTCTGTCATCCATTTTGGTCTTTTCTTTTCTTTTTAATGACCTCTTGCTTTCTTCATGGATGATGGCCTTGATGTCATTCCACAATTCTTCTGGTTTTTGGTCACTGGTGTTGAATGCATCAAATTTATTCTTTAGATGGTCTCTAAATTCAGGAGGGATATATTCAAGATCATACTGTGGCTCTCTTGGGCTTGTTTTAATTGTCTTCAGCTTCAAGTTGAACTTGCACATGGACAGTTGATGGTCTGTTCTACAATCAACTCTTGACCTGGTTTTAGCTGAAAATACTGAGTTTTTTTCCATTGCCTCTTGCCACAGATGTTATCAATCTGATTCCTGTATATTCCATCTGGTGAAGTCCACGTGTATAGTCACCATCTGTGTTGTTGAAAATATGTATTTGCAATGAATAAGTCATTGGTCTTGCAAAATTCTATCATACAATTTCCAGCATTATTTCTGTCACCAAGGCCAAATTTTCCAACTACCAGTGATTCTTCTTTGTTTCCAACTTTTGCATTCCAGTCACCAGTGATAATTAACACATCCTGATTGCATGTTTGGTCAATTTCAGACTGCAGAAGCTGATAAAATTCTTCAATTTCCTCATCTTTGGCTTTGGTGGTTGGGGCATAAATTTGAGTAACAGTCATATTAACGGGTCTTCCTTGTAGATGTATGGAAATTATCCTATCACTGACAGCATTGTACTTCAGGACAGATCTTGAAACACCCTTTGTGATGATGAATTCTTCCTGGTATAGTGGATCATATGGTTGTCTGATTTAAAATGGCCAAAACCAGTCTACTTCAACTCACTAATGCCTAGGATATCAATCTTTATGCATTCCATTTCATTTTTGACAACTTCCAACTTTCCTAGATTCATACTTCATACATGCTATGTTCCAATTATTAATGGATGTTTGCAGCTGTTTCTCAATTTGAGCTGTATCACATCAGCAAATGGAGGTCTTGAAAGTTTTACTTATCCATATCAGTAAGGTTGGTTCTATTCTGATCATTCCACCCCTTCCTAGTTGTATTTTGAGAGCCTTCCAACCTAAGTGGCTCATCCTCCTACACTGTATCAGGCAATGTTTCCAGGCTATTCATATAGTTGCCTAGTATTATAATGGACAGTGTTTCTCTGCTATTCATAAAGTTTTCCCTGGGCAATTCCTTGAGAAGTGGATGGTCTCTTCCTTCTTCCCAGTCTATCTCAGTCTGCAAGCTGTGCTGAAACCTGTGCACCATGTGCAACCCCGCTGGCATTTGAAACACCAGTAGCACAGCCTCAAGCCTCACAGCAACATGCCACCACAACACGACAAACTGACAGACAAGTTTGTCTCCCTTAGTTGTTTGAAACCTCTCCACCCTCCCCTTATCTGGATCCCTCTGCCACTTGCTCACTCTCTCCTGGATGCCCTGGGTTTCCTTTCCTTTCCCCTCCACTTTTCCTGCTGCTTGGGGGTTGGGGTCTGGGTCCCTCCCTTCACCTGGATCCCTCTGCTGCTTGCTTGCTCTCACCAAGACACCCTGGCTTTCCTTTCCTTTCTCCTCCACCTTTGCTGCCACTTGGGGTTGGGGCGTGGGTACGTCCCCATACCTGGCTCCCTCTGACACTTGCTTGCTCTCTCCTGGATGCCCTGACTTTCCTTTTCTTTTCCCTCCATTTTTCCTGCCTCTTAGGGGTTAGGACATGGGTCCCTCCCCTTACCTGGGTCCCTCTGCTGCTTGCTCACTCTCTCCTGGATGCCTTGGCTTTCCGGTAGTTTACTTTACATTACAGCATTTAAGTTACAGGATATCAAAGAAAAGAGTATACATTACTGAAGGACTCTGCATCTTCTTCTGAGAGTCAGTGCATTTTCAATTTTTCTCATGATAACTGTCATGTTAGGCAGAAGTGTGACTTTGTTTTTATACTTATACAAAGTATAAGAAGATTAAGCATGGTTTAAGGAGATAAGTATGGGTGGGTGTTAAGTTGACAAGGGGTGGTCTCTGATGGTTAATCTTATGTATCAACTTGGCTAGGCTACAAGTATCCAGTTATTTAATAAAACACTAATCTAGGTGTTAAGGTCCCTCGATGGTGCAAAGAGTTTGTGCTCAGCTATTAACTTAAAAGTTTGCAATTCAAGCCCACCTAGTGGTACTGCAGAAGAAAGGCCTGGTTATCTGCTTCTGTTTAGATTACAGCCAAGAAAACCTTATTGAGCAGTACTACTCTGTAACTCATGGGCTGCTGTGAATAAGAATAAACTGTGTGGCAATAGTTTTTTGTCTTCTTTATTCCCCACCTTTGTTTTTAATCTAGGTGTTGCTGTGACAGTATTTTATAGATATGGTTAAGTTAAAATCAGTTGACTTTAAGTAAAGGTGATTACTCACAATAATGTGGATGTGCCTCACCTAAGCAGTCAAATGCCTTAAGCACAAAAACTGAAGTTTCTTGAAGAAGAAGAAATTCAGCCTCAAGACAGCAATTAACTCCTATCTTAGTTTCAAGCCTGCCAGCCTGCCCTGAAAATTTCAAACCTGCAAGCACTTACAATCTTATGAGTCAATTTCTTGAAATAAATCTCTTTAGATTGATAGACAGACAGACAGGTACATACATACACAGAAAAGTGGGTATAGGTAGAGATAGATAGATATATTTCCTACTGATTCTGTTTGTTTGGAGAACCCTGACTGATAGAGGAAATTCCTATAACCATCATCACAATCATGATACAGAACTATTCCATCATCACAAAGCTCTCCCTCATGCTACCATTATGTACCCACACACTCATTCCACCCACCTTAATGAACCCCTAGCAACCACTTACCTGTTACCCATTTCTAAAATTTTGTCATTTTGAAAATGTTATATAAATGGAACAGCAATAGGTGACTATCTTGGTTCCTTAGGACGGCTATAACAGAAATACCACAGATAGATGGCTTTATCAAAGGGATTTATTCTCCCTACAGTTTAGGAGGCTAGAAGTCTGAGTTCAAAGTGCCAGCTCTAGGGGCTGGGTGAATGCCCCTCGACCTTGTTCTTCAGCTCTGTCTCCTATTCTAGGCACATTGGAGCTGGAGGTTTTTCTGACTCATGCAGTTGTTGGCTGCTGGGGCTGACAAACTCAAGATCAACAGGTAAAATGGCACAACCCCAAGATTAGCAGACAACACAGAACACCAGTTCAAGACGAGAAGCAGTCTATGATTGGCAGGCAACACAGTAGGCCACTGGTGGTGATTCAGCCAAATGCAGGATCCAGATATGCCAAAAAGCTAGAGACCTTTCCTAGTGCATCTCCTTATATACTGGAAGCAGGCCACACCCTAAAGGCAGCTCCCTAGCTGCTCATAGAAGATTCCACCATGAAGGTGATTACAGTCTCATCATAGGGAATAACCACATCCAGCTGCCCAGCCACTCAAAACCACAGCCCAACCAAGCTGACACACAACTTTAACTACACAGTGACCTTTTGAGATTAATATTTTTTCAATCAGCATAATGCCCTAAAAATCCATCCAAGTTGCTGTTAGTATCAATTGTTCATTCTTTTTATTGCTGTGTAATATTCCATGGTGTAGATGTACCAAATTTGTTTAACCATTTGCCCATTGGAAGACACCTAAGTTGTTTCCAATCTTTTGCTATTATGAATGAAGCTGCCATTAACATTTGTTGTTGTTGTGTTGTTGTTTGCCATTGAGTCGGCCCTGACTCATAGCGACCCTTCCTTGGGTTTCCGAGCAGTATCACTACGGAAGCAGGAATGCCCAACCTTCCTTCCGAGGAGTGGCTGGTGGGTTTGAACTGCCAGCCTTCTGGTTAGCAGTCAAGTGCCTTAGCCACTATGCTACCAGAGCTCCTGCCATTAACATTTATATATAGGTTTTTCTGTGAACATACATTTTCATATCTCTGGAATAAATGTCCAGGAGTACAATTGCTGGGTTATATGGTAGTTACATGTTTAATTTTTTAAAGAAATTGTCAAACTACTTGCAGAATAGCTGTACTATTTTACTCTCCCACCAGCAATGTATATGTAATACAGTTTCTTGGCATCTTTGCCAGCATTTGGTGTTGTTACTATTTGTTATTTTAGTCATTTTCACCAGTATGTATTGATACATACTGGTCTTAATTTTCATTTCTCTAATGACGGGTGAGGTTGAACATTTCTGATGTTTTTACTTGCCACACATATCTCCTTTTCTGTCTGTCTCTTCATGTCTTTTGCTCATTTTTCTATCGTGGGTGTTTAGTATTGACTTTTGAGACTTCTATATGTATCTATGAGTCCTTTGGCAGATATGTGGCTTGCAAATATTTTCTTCCCATCTGTAGCTTATCTTTTTGTCCTGTACAAGGATCTGGTGAAGAGCAAAACTTTGAAATTTTAATGAATATTTTTCTTTTATGGATCATGCTTCTGGTGGCCTGTTTAAGAACTCTACTTGAAGTCGTATGTCCCGAAGATTTTCTCCTAAATTTTTTCTAGTTTTATATTTAAATCTATGATCCATTTTGAGCTAATTTTTGCATAATATGTCAAGTTTCAGTCAAGGATCAATTGAATCATTGCATCAGAACCATGTGTTCAAATAAAGGGTCTTTCCTATATTGAATTGCTTTTACACTTTTTTCAAAAACCAGTTGACCACACTTGTATGGGGGTTATTTCTGAGTTATCTATTCTGTTCCATTGATCTACATGTTGATCCCTCCACCAGTACCACACAGTCTTGATTACAGTAGCTATATAATCAGTTTTGAAATAGGATAGAGTGATGCCTCCCAATTTATTCTTTTTGAAAATTGTTATAACTATTCTAATTTCTTTGATTTTCCATATGTATCAGTCAGGGTTCTCCAGAGAACAGTATACACACACACACATACATACACACATACCCACATATATAAGTATTATATACATATATGCATATAACACACACACATATCTATATCTATCTGTCTATATGTCTTTTTGTCTGTTTAAAGAGAGAGAGAGAAAGATTTATTTCAAGAAATTGGCTGCAAGCCATGTCATCAGGCTGGAAATTCTCAGGTTATTACAGTCTTGAGGCCAGATATCTTCTTCCTTGGGAAACCTCAGTTTTGCTCTTAAGGCCTTTGAACTGGGCCCAATCTTCCTTCCCAGGAGTAACTGGTGGGTTTGAACCATCAGCCTTCTGGATAGCAGTCAAATGCCTTGGGTACTTTGCCACCAAAGCTCCCATTATCAAGGATACTCTCCTGCAATAGAGATTTTAATCAAGTCTACAAAATACTTTCACAGCAACACCTAGGTTAGTGTTTAATTGAATAACTTGGTTCTATGGTGGTGTAGTGCCAAAGGCATTTGACTGCTAACCAGAAGGCTGGTGGTTCAAACTCACCTGCCACTCCTCGGAAGGAAGACTGGGCAATCTACTTCCATAGAGATGCCACCTCAAAAACCCAAGGAGGGGTCGTTATGAGTCAGAACCAACTTGACGACATTGAGTTTGGTTTTTTTGGATAGCCTAGCTCCAACATTCGACTGTCAGTAATAATGTAGAGGATTGCATGTTGCTGTGACACTGGAAGCTATGCTACTAGTATTTTAAATATTAGCAGGTAACTCATGGTGGCCAGGTTTCAGCAGAGCTTCTGGACTAAGACAGACTAGGAAGAAGGATGTAAAAGTCCAATTCTGAAAAAAGTGACCACTGAAACCCTTATGAATAATAGGGAAACACTGCCTGATATCATGTCTGAAGGCACGCCCTTCAGGTTGGAAGGCACTCAAAATACTAATGGAGAAGAACCTCCTCAAAGTAGAGTCAACCTTAATGATGTGGATGGAGTAAAGCTTTCAGGACCTTCATTTCCTGATGTGGTATGATGATAAAGAAGAGGTGCAAATATCCATTAATAATTCGAATGTGGAAGGTACAAATCAGGAGTCTGGGAGAATATAGGTTCTCATAACTGAAATAGAACATAAAGATCCTAGGCATTAGTAAGCTGAAATGAACTGGTATTGGCCATTTTGAACTGGACAGTCATATGATCTAGTATGCCAGGAATGACACATTGAAGAAGAATGGCATCACATTTGTTGTCAAAAAGAACACTTCAAGATCTATCCTGAAGTACAGTGCTATCAGTGACAGGATAATACCCATACACCTACAAGGAAGACCAGTTAACATGATTATTATTCAAATTTACAAACCTACCACTAAAGCCAAATATGAAGAAACTGAAGCCTTTATCAACTTCTGCAGTCTGAGATTGACCAAACATGAAATCAAGATGTATTCATAATTACTGGTGATTGGAATATGAAAGTTGAAAACAAAGAAGAAACATTGGTAGGTGGAAAATATGGCCTTGGTGACACAAATCATGCTGGAGATAGCATGATAAAATTTTGCAACATCAATGACTTATTCATTGCAAATACTTTTTTTTGACAACATAAATTATGATGATATATGTGGACCTCACCAGATGGAATACACAGGAATGAAAGTGACTACATCTGTGGAAAGAAATGATGGAGAAGCTCAATATCATCAGTCAGAACAAGGCCTGGAGCCAGCTGTGGAACAGATCATCAATAGCTCATATGCAAGTTTAAGTTGAAACTGAAAATTGAAACAAGTCCAC